AGAATTCCCCAGCCAGCGAATGCTGGCTGGGGAATTCTGGGAGTTGAAGTCCGGACATCTTCAAGTTGCCAAGGTTGAGAAACACTGGTCTAAAGTAGCCGTTTAATAATCACTCTCATCCAGCAACTGTTACGATAGTGCTGCGCAAGTATTAATCAGTCCTCAAAGTTCCCACAGTTCCCAGCACTCACGTGGTCATGTGGTTGCAGTCTGGCCCTTGACAACTAGCCTGTCCTTACGATAGCATTATTTGATCATCATGTCCCCCTGCCTGCAACAGCCACTTACTGGCCTCCTGGGGGACTTACTTAATGATTCTTGCTTAATGCTGGCAATAGGAAATGCTGGGATTCTCAATGAAGTAGATCGGGAGGCGCTACCATCGGGCTATCGTCAATCCTGATTGGTCCATGGACTGAGATAAATTGTTGCAGCCATGCCTCTGCTCCTTTTGCCCAATTCCTCTCAGTCTATGGCCCAAATAGGCTGACCTTTTTTTCTTAGCTCGCGTGAGACTATTTCCCTAGAATATTAGATTTGATAATTTGGCTAATTGGCTTCTTTCTACATTATTTAAAATTTCCTTCAAACTTGAAATTCCATTGCTGCTGCGTGCGAAGGAGGCGGCGGGCATCGCAGCCTCCTCGCAGAGGCGCCGGATCGCCGGCTGGCTCAGGATCCGGCAAAACCTGCTCTTTTCTGCTGAGAGAGTGAGGTAAGCGGAGAGCGGCTTAATTAATTTCCATCGCTAAGCAGTATGATCACGTGACATCGCGCTTGCAACTGTATTACTTAGCAATGGAGATACCCAGCACTACCCACTGTCATTGTTAATCAAGTATTACCTGTAATATTGAAAAATACTGTTGGTCAATATTGAATGAAATATTGCAACTGTTAAAAGCTTCTGTGAAGCTGTAATTTGTTTTCTCACTATGGGAATTGTGTAAGAGTGTATATTTACTAGATGGCAAAAACAAAATCCATACTTAACTGCTAACTACACTTGGCTTGAGAGCAAAAATGAAATATATTCCCACCATTGACTAGGTTAAGTGGACTACCCCATACAGTGTTTCTGTCATTTTCTTTTTCCTTTACTTCTTTGCCATATCTTACCATCTTAATTTTCAGTTCTGAGAATGTTAAAATATTATACATAAAAACTGACATTTCATATTTGTAATTGAACATTTGCTTGGCATTCTGTGATGATTCAGAATAGCCTCCAGAACCACCTGTAGATCTACCATAGAGAGGCTAAGAGAGTACAGAAACGTCTGTGTGTACTATACTTAAACAAATAGGAAAATAGAGTAGCCCCTTGTAGGAATGTTTTATCTCATACTCACTCTGTCTAGACTAGAGAGTAAAATAGAGAACATCTAAACCAAAAAGATTCGAATATAGAGGTTATGCAATTGATCAGAAAACTGAATAAGGATCCTTAGTTAGTTAATTATTTTGAATCTAAGGATTTCAACCAGAAAACCAATTGTGTCTGTAATGGTTTCATTTAGTTTATAGCTCTTATCTTACTTAAAAATTATTAGTTTTGAATTATTAGTCTTGGGTATAGCTGAAATAAAATAGAATGCATTCAGTTTTCTGCATCCATGAGATTCTTTTGAAACTCTCTATCATTACTAGTACTATTGAATGAAATTGTTTCTGTAACGTATTTCAGCTTTAATTTGAGTGAAAAGCTTAAAATCATGACACTTTTTAGGTTAAATCTCTTTACATTGCAATCACATATACAATATGTGTATGGTTCCATGCATATATGCACACACACACACACACACACACACACACACACACACACACACACGTATATACATTATACATATCTTGGCAGTTTTGATTTTCTGAGAAGATAGTTGTTAAGTGTAACTTAAAAATAGAAAGCCAAAAAGCAGGTGACAAAATGTCAGGCGGCTAGCCGGTCCCTGGTAGAGCGACTGAATGAACACAACAGGCACACACGCACTTCAGATGTCACAGATTTGGTTCTATTTTTGTACCTGACTTTAGCAAAGCAAGAAAAAAAGTATTTTTAAAAGGGTTTAGTGCCATAATTACAAGCTTCACTTCTATATACCAACTCATATACAAACCACTTACTGCAATTTGGTTATTTGACAGTTATTTTGGCAGAATTTTAAGTGCCAAATGGGATCTTCTGGACTCTTATCTGAAGTTTAGAAAGGATTTGCTTGTTGCTTCTCCCTTGGCCAAGTAGAAGATTGTCTTGGCATCTTTTACAGAAATACCAAAACTGCTAGGTTAAGTCCCGGATACCGTTTTTGGCAGGGGCAAAACTGAGTACATTTTTTGTAACACAGTTAGATCCTCCTGTTCAGAAGATAATATTCTTGCTTCGGATCTCTTAACTGAAGCTAAATAATAAACTTGTGGGCTATCATTGGTATTTGCAATAGGGGATAATAATTCCTGCTGAAGAGATTAGCCATTGCTATTGAGCTTACATTTATATTATTTTGCTTAAATCATTCTGGGGAAAAGAATAGGATAACATTAAATTTTAAACAGTGTGAAATAAATCACTGCTTCCATTAATTCTTGTGAAGTGCAGGATGTTCTAAAACTGTTCTACTTAGAATATAACAAGTATCAGCTCTTAGGGAGATTTTTATTGTTTCGTTCTTCCTTTTTGTTTTTTAAAACACCAAGATTCTTCTCACTCAGCTTTACCTACAGTTCTTATTGTAAAGGCTATGGTTGATGGTATATTTTGTATTATAAGATGCTAAAAAAACAGTTTTACTGATTTTAAAAGCTGATTATTTCTCATCGTACTGTACTTGTGTATAATTCACAACGTACATTTCATTTTCTACATGGAGGAAGTAGTACCTTTTGCCATGTGGCAAAAAAGTGAAGAATCTTCTTCAGCACTTCATACATTTAAAGGAAGAGTTTGGGTTTGGGGGAAGAGGAGCCTTCATGAATTGAGTATGCGCACCTTGTTGAAGCCCTATTATGAATTAGAGGCTTCCCACCCTTGTTTAAAAGAAGGTGCTTAAAGATTTTGGAAGTTTCTAGGGCTTCATATAGATTACCATGTTTATATCCTTATAACAATGTGCAAGGTACTTGACTATTCACATTCTTGCAATATAGATGGAGAGATAGGACTCAAATTAAATAACGGAATAAAGATGCTTTCAAGATATATGTCAGATCAGAGACTCAATGTTTGATATTTCCATTGTCTTTACCACAAGACAGTAGGTTCCAGAAGCAGATTTCATATACTCACAAGTTAATGAGAATCCAAACTACAGTACACATATAAAATAGGCTTTCGCTTTTCTTGAAGAAGCATAAGCAAGTTATTTCTACTAACACTCTCAGTAATCAGTTAAAGAAACACTAAAGAGTTAATAGTTTGTTTTGACAACAAGAAGCTGCTAGTATTTCTTCCCAGATTTCCCTATTGAGTCAATGGAGTGGATATGAGGGAATAACGTTTTTATTTTTCCTCCAAGATACAATATTTAACGTTAGGTACTGTTTCTTGTTAGAGTTAATTAATTGAAAAGTGCATTTTCTGTTAATCTAAAAATCAAATTACAAGAATTAGAAATGAGCAGAACTATTTCCATTATAAAGAAACCAATGAAAAGAGATTAACGTGTTTAGGTTCATTTTTTTCTCAGATGATTTGTTATCTTTTACCTTTAAAATGAACATAGCATATAGTAGTTATTATTATATATCTTTTATTGAAGAAGAGATGGAACACATTTTGAGATGATTAACGCTATTCATATCTGTTTGATTAAGAAACTCTAGTTTTTTTTAAAAAAATGAACTCTAGTATTAAATTTTTGTTTAACTTTTTTTAGGTCGTATGGGCATAAATTTTCATCATCCGGGAACAGATAATATTATGACACTCAATAGTAAGTTTATATCTTACTTTACTGAATTTTGCACAACTTGTATATTCAATATGCTTTTGCATTTATGTGTCCGTTTTGATTACAAAAAAGGGAGTTGAAATAGATAATATAAAAGGCTCTGGACATCATTCAAAAGTCTATCATATTATTCCAAACTAAAGGGATTCCTCTTTGAAGAAAGTTGATTGCAATACAGGTACTGTATTTTTAGGAGTATAAGATGCACTGGAGTATAAGACGCACGAAGGTTTTGAAGAGGCAAATTTAAAAAAAGTAGGTGGGGGGAGAGAGGGAGAGAGAGGAAGAGAGTGAAATACAGTAGGTATGTAGGGAGAGAGAGAGTAGTTAGGTAGATAAAGGGATAGAGGGAGAGAAAAAGAGAGAGATAGAAAAATACAGTAGGGAGGGAGGGAGAGAGTAGTTAGGTAGGTAGATAAAGGGATAGAGAGAGAGAAATAGAGAGAGAAATACAGTAGGTAGGGAGAGAGTGTGTGTGTAGGTAGGTAGAGAGAGGGAGAGGGAGAGAGAGAAATACAGTAGGTAGGTAGGGAGAGAATGTAGGTAGCTAGGTATATGTTTCAGGTGTATTTATCCATGTGCTGGAGAAGGAAATCCTGACAACCGGCAGACCTAAAACTTTGTTTCTGCTGGCACAGCACTTGATCAATGTAATTCTCATCAATCAGTTAAAGAGCTTTCCAAAAGGAAAAAAAAAGGTTTTGCACTCTTCAAACTTCCCCAAAATGGCCCGTTTTTTGCAAAAACAGGCCCATTTTTTTTTTAAAAAAGGCATGAATAGCCTTGGGCTTGCAGAGTGTTCCTGGGGGGAGGGCCAAAAA